TTTTAACTAAGGACCTAATACTCATTTGGTATGTGTGTGATTTTGTAAAAGAACAATATTTATTTTATAACTAAGCTCTCATTTTCCTAAATGCACAAATACTTAGTGTTGGGATCATATAAAATTTTTGAATAATTAAGGGCCAAAATTTCTAGCACAAAGGGAAAGAGAATCAATTTTAAGTGGTACGGGATAATCTTTATCATATTTAGAAAGTTTAGGATCAATACCGAAAAATATCTAGTCATCATCTTCTCCCCCCATTCCTTCGCTGCATCTCTCTTTCTAGCCGGTGACTTCAAATCTCAAAAATCAAACCCCAAAATCTTAAAATAGAATACTAAACCTCAAAGAATATTAGCTTTAACTCTTTCTAAAGCTCCCACACACTCATATCCGGAGAGTGGGGGGAGGGGGGGGGGGGGCTGAGGCAAGGAAAGGAACCTTCGAGGGGTTCCGGGCAAAGGCAAACTTGGCCTTCTCCAGCCGGTCGGGGGTGTTCGAGACCCCCCGAGCCCCAACATGGTTCCGCCCCTATATACTATAAACATTAAGTGCATGTAGCTACATGCACTTAATGTGATATCACGCGCCCCGAATTATTATACTGTAAACATTAAGTGCATGTACGTAGGTGCACTTAATGTGAAGACACACGCGGCCCACCTTCTCTTCTTTAGCGCATCCCTATTTTTTTTAATATGAAACGCACGTGGCTCAATTCCTTCATTTTAGGAAATGGGTTTCAACTTTTTTTCCAAATGTTCAAATGATTTTATTTCTTAAACCGTAAAGAATTAGAGAAAGTGTCTTAATATCATTTTGATAGTACTCGATGAGATCTGTCTAACAAGATCCATCATGAATATGATTTTCAAAATTTCAAAAAAATTTATGCAATTGGCTTGGTCTTCCTAAAACACGCTCTGATCTTACTTGTGTGTTTTAGGAACAAGACCTGGAACAAAGACCAAAAATCGAATACCAAAGAGCAAAGACCAAAGACCCAAGATCAAAGTGAAGAGCGAGTGTGTGCGAGGACCAAAGATGAAACACCAAAGGCCAAAAAATTGAAGACTAAAGACCAGAGTGAAGAGCGAGTGTATGTGAAAAACAAAGACCAAAGGTAAAAGGGTAAAGACCAAAAATAGAAGACTAAAGATCAAAGATTAAAGACCATAGTTAAGAGCGAGCATGTGTGAGGAACAATGTCCAAAGGACAAAAACCAAAAAACAAGAAACAAAGACGAAAGACCAAAGAGCAAAGACTAAGGTGAAAGAACAAGCGTTGTGTGAGGAGCAAAGACCAAAGACCAAATGTCGAAGACTAAAAACCAAAGACCAAAGACCAACGAGCAAAGACCAAAGACCAAAGACCAAAGACTAACAGCTAGCGTGTTTTTTGGCCGCCTGTGTGGCCTTTCATATATAAATTGGAAACCTTTATTCGGGGAAGATATCAGAGCGGGTGTGTGTGAGGAGCGGGCATTTGTGAGGAGCGGCCGTGTGTGAGTTGCGGTGGATGCTCATGGAACCTTTGGCTAGTGTGATTTTTGGTCGCCTGCGTGGCTTTTCGAATATAAATTGAAAACTTTTTTTCTGGGGAGAAATCGGAGCGGACGTGTGTGAGAAGCAGGCCTTTGTAAGGAGCGGTGGATACTTCGCGGCAGATGCTCATGTAACCTTCGGCTAGCGTGCTTTTTGGCCGCCTGCGGGGTTGTTCATATATAAATTGGAAACCATTTCTCGGAGGAGATATCAGAGTTGGCGTGTGTGAGGATCGGCTGTGTGTAAGTTAGAGCAGATGGTAACGTAGCCTTCGGTTAGCGTGCTTTTCGGTCGCCTGCACGCCTCTTCATATAGAAATTAGAAACCATTTCTTGAGAGAGATATCAAAGTGAGCGTGTGTGAGTTGCAGCGGATGCTCACGTAGGTTTCAGCTAGCATGCTTTTCGACCGCCTGGGCGGTCTTTCGTAAATAAATTAGAAACTTTTCTCGGAGGAGATATCGGAGCGGGCGTGTGTAAGGAGCGGACGTGTGTGAGGAGCGGCAGATGCTCACATAGCATTCAGCTAGCGTACTTTAAGGGCACCTGCGCGGCACTTTAAATATAAATTGGAATCCTTTTTTGGGAGAGATATCGGAGCGGTCATGTGTAAGGTGCGGGAGATGGTAACATAGCCACTGGCTAGCGAGCTTACACCCCATTCATATATTAGAATCATTTTTTTAGGGTATATATCGGAGCGAGAATGTGTGATGAATTGTTTGTAGTTGCATTGGTCTTCCGAAAAGGCAATCTGGTCTTACTTCTTGGTAGTAATGGTCTTAATTCCGTTATATAATTTGTTTAATGGTTTTATTATATAATTTCATAGGTAATGCAATAGTAATTTGTTTTATGGTGTTATCATATAAAATTTTAAAACTCATGTATTGTATTTCATTTTATGGTCTTGTTATATAATTTTAAAGGTCGTGTAGTATATTTTATATGGTCTTATTGTATAATTCAAAATTATATTAACTAAGAAATTAGAACTAAAATAAAAAGAAAATTGCAAAAAGAAAACACATGAAATTTTTCAGTGTTGAATAATCAAAATAGATCTTGATTATATCTGTTCAATGCAAAATATCACAATTCAAAAAAAAAAAACCCCACTAAACCAACACAAACAATAAAAGAAAAAATCATGCGCATTAAAAAATAACCACGGAACCAAAAACACAAAAAAGAAGGGAAATATCCCACTTAATGAAAAAAAGAAAAGGTCACTAGCCTATGTCTACGTGTGTTTCTGCCGTCTATGCGGCTCTTCCAATATAAATTGGAAATCTTTTTTCGGAAGAGATATCGGAATGAGCATGTGTGAGGAGCAAAGACCAAATAGCAAAGGCCAAAAACCAAAGAGCAAAGACCAAAGAGCAAAGATCCGAGTGAAGAGCGAGCGTGTATAACGAGCAAAGATCTAAGACCGAAAACAAAAGATAAAAGGGCAAAGATCAAAGTGAAGAGCAAGCGTGTGTGAGACACAAAGACCAAAGATCAAAGAACAAAGAGTAAATATCGAAAACCAAAGACCAAAGACTGGAGTGAAGAACGAGCGACCAAAGACCAAAGGTCAAAGATGAAGAACCAAAGACCAAAGAACTATAGTACAAACAAGCATAGCCATTGTGTCTTTCAGGAAGACCAAAGAAAATACATAAAAGTCAAGACCTACAGTAATAAATAAAAAGACCAAAATGTTTGCACAAAACACATAGGAGCAACAAGTAAGACCGTGGTGCCTTTTAGTAAGCAGTTCAGATCCTCTGTAAGGTTTTATCCTGTAAGTTCCTGTAAGGTGCCCGGAACGACGCCGTTTCGCCCTTTGACCCATCTACTCTTCAATTTTTACTTTCGTAATTTTCTTGAGTTATAGGCTTGAGCCAAGCCAACTATAATTGGAAAAAGGTTAAGATTTCTCCATCTTTTTCTCTCTTTCTCCCTCCTGCATCTAATTCTCCATCTTTCTCGATCCAATTTTTCTTTTTGTTCTCGGATTCACTTTCATTTTGCTTTCGGGTACGAGTGCCGGATTTTTGCTTCGTCCATGGTATGATTTCTTTCAACTTTAGCCATTAGTTATGGGTTAACTTTTAATTGAAAAAAGAATCGATTAATTTTCAATTGGTGCAACTTTCAAGTTAATGGTTAAATCAATAGCATTAGTTTCCAATTAGTGAAGTCAATGCGGCCTTTAATCTTTATAATACTGTTTGCTAATAGGTATAAAGTGCATTCACTATGAAGGACTCATCGGCGGAGTTACCCGGCGGTGTTATGAGGTTGTTTGTGATAGTGGTTTCGCCGGAAAAGGGGAAAACGTCTCTCAATCATGTCTGGTAAGTGGGTTCCTCGGTTACCAACGGTCTGCCAGACTAGCATGGGAACTCTAAAGGTTCCCTTGATTTGTTGAGTGAGGAGAGTATGGATACCGGTGGTTCTACTGATTGTAGGACCAAGAAGATAAACGTAAGCTTTTCTTATTATTCCATTTAATCAGAAAAGATAAATCAGTTTTAGTCAAGTTTGTAAATTTTAATGGGTTTGATAATTAGTGGGTCTTTAACCAGCTCTGCATTCAACAATCATAGTGATTTGATTACTGGCGTATTTTTTATAGTGTGAGTGCGCGAGTGTAGATCCTTGATGCTTCGGATGTAAATTAAAGTTTCAAATATTTATGGTCGCATTCATTAGTCCTTGTCCTGCCCATGTAGAATGGATTCATTAATTGTGTTGGCCAAAATTGAAATTACTGGAGTAATACTTTGTCTGATTGTCTTTTTGCAGATATTGTGATTGATATAATTGAGAGACATATAAAACAAGCAGCCAAGTACACCAAGGTCATTTGAGCAAATACAAGAAAAGGAAAGAGCACTACTATTATATAGCACAAGCTAGGGGGAAACAGGGGTGGCCTATTACATGTTCTTAGTTGAAGATGGCAAGAGAATATATTTGTTATGATGGTTTGAAATGGCTCGTTGGGCAGCTCTTTTTTAGTGAAATATTTAGCTTCTCTAGCGTATTATCTCAACAAAGGAATTGCAGGTCATGTGTAATTTTGTTCCATCAAACTAAGATTATTTCAATCATGTGTTCCTTGGATCTTGAGTGGAGTTTATACTCTTCAGCTAGATAGAATTTCTCTGTTTTTTGCCTTGGAGTTCAAAAGACATTGACAAATCGGCAATACCTGAAATTGAACTCTAATATGATGTTTCACTATACTTGTATCACCTGTAGTATGTCATATACGCAATATGCATCATATGCAACCTTTCATATGGGTATCGCACGCAGCAATTCATACCTAAAATTGAAGATTAAAGTACCGTCGACATTGTTTTTTATAGAAATAGTATGCCACAAGCAGAAAATATATGAGAACTTCAATTATCTTACATATAAAAATTTCATTTCAGTGATAATTCAAAACTAAACTCACTCCTTATCATTTCCCCTGCAAGTACAACATATGCCTCCAAGACATTGAAATGAACAACCACACTTCTCGTCACAGTGAACACTTCCCAGATTGTCTCCAATCCCAAAATTGTCAAAACCACTGAATTGTTTTTCTCCCAAATATTCACCAATCCCAGATTGATTAAAATCAGGAATTTGTTGTGCCTAACATTTAAACGTGTAGTATTACTTACATATATTTAAAAAAAGAAACAAGAGAGAAACTAATGATACAATCAAATATAATCAATCAATAAAAAAGAGAATCACCATAAGTAAATCAGTCATCCGCATTGTGCTTGTAGCTGGATTAGCAGCAAAGTTATGTTCGCTTGTCCCCATATGGACCTACAATTGCAACATAAATATTTAGAAGAGTACTACATATTTCAACCAAAAAAAAAAAAACCACAATGTTACAATATACTTGAAAATTGGATTGTAGCATAGGATATGAATACGTGTAGACCTTATGTGTATCAGCACTAGGAAGATCAAGTTGTTGCACTTGATGTGTTGCAACCAGGAAAAGAAACAAATAAAAACAAAAATCAAAAAGGCAAAGAAAACTTGTTAAAGAACAGGGGGGAAAAAAGACACCACAATGTGGAGCATGATAATTTGAGCTATTGAACTTTTTTTTAACTTACTAAGCAAAACCTGATTATTCGAAGGCATGGTTGGTGAAGTTGTCTTAGAAGACGTCTTGGGTTTCTTAGATGCTTTTTTTTTTACTTGCATTCTTCTCTAAACCACTTTTCAATCTCTTACTTGATGTAGGTTTTGGCCTCACTTTAATACCCTTAGCTTTCCCAATGTTGATCACTTCGAGATCTGTGTCAAGATTACTGGATTGAGCCAACTCTTCATTTTGCATCACTTGTTCCTCTTCAACAAGTATTTCTGCACCTTGTAAAATATCATCAACTGACTCCAACAATTTGAGAAGACCTTGTTTTACATATTAGTTGTGTCCTTCCTCTCTGATGCTCTTGTGACCAACCGTAGGGTTAACGAACTCAAGTCTTTGTACCTCAAACCTAGCGACACTTTAGTATCCTCACTTTTATTGTTATTCAAAGTTTTATCACCAAGGTAACCTGTCTTTGCTTTTCTCGTCCATCTTTTCAGAATATACCGACTAGGTATTTTCAGAACACTTTTTGAGGTGAAAACCTTCAACACATGTGAGCATAAGATGCCAGCAAATTCAAACTTTCTACAACTGCACTGGGCTTCGTCATTTGCCGAATCATGAGTGACCACATGAAAGTAGCTTTTTCCCACTGGAGTAATCTCATATTTTGTAATTGTACCATCTTTGCCACTAACATTCAAGCTACAATCATGACATTTTGTCCATTGATCTTGAAAACATTTAAACACTTCAGGTGTGTATACGCTTGCCGCGTGCTTCAAAATTTCAACAAGTGTTGGCAATGTTGGAGTGCTGGTGTTAGCTCTAAAATCTGCCTTTAACTCAATGTATCGACGACCATCAATAAGCCTCTGGAAGTGATCAAAAAACTGTAAAAAAGTTATGTCTATAACTTACATGCTTTTTGACAAGACTGTTCATACTCTCACTCCTCTGCGTTGTAGTCATGTCTGCACAAAACATCCAACGACCATATACCAAGGCCCATTTCTCCTTCATGGAAAATAGTTGTTTCAACCAATCGTTATTTTGAAGTTCATATTTTTCTAACATCTCATTCCATGCAGAGACAAAGTCTTCTTCTTCTTCGCAATCATAAATGCAAGAGCTGAAATCACTTGAAAACTTTTTAAACCGAGAAAAAACATCACTCAAATGAGTAGCAGCATTTTGGAAGATGTGCCATATACAGAGGCAGTGATTAACTTCACGCCATTTCTCTCTTAACGCACTTGCCATTGCCTTGTCACCATCAGTAAGAATTGTTAAAGGCCTTTTACCTTGCATAGCCTTTGCAAATGTTTTGAATAACCACTTGAACGTAAAAGCAGTTTCGTCATACAACAATGCAACACCAAAAATTGTAGTTTGCTTATGATGGTTTACACCTACAAACAAAGCAAGTGGGCGCCCCTCACTATTTTTCCTGTAGGTGGTGTCAAAACAAACTACATCTCCAAAATCCGCATAATCATTCCTCATCTTTGCATCTGAGCAAAATATGTTTGTTATCAAATCATCAGTATCAACTTGAATTGCTTGGAAGAAATTAGGATCTTCAAATTGCATTTTGTGTAAATATTCCTACACTCCTCTAGTATCTCCCTTTTCATCTCCCTTGTTCTCTTTGTCCTTAAATAATTTTTATAATCTTCAAGAATAAAGCCAAGATTGTCTCTCCCACCTTCCAGTCTTACCATAAGATCATGCCCTGCTTTTGGTGCGATCCCCACTTCGCTAGCCATGTCAATTTGTCGGGCTGCAGCAGAAGATATTTTTCTATGATTTCTATGCAGATGTGTCTTATGAGGGCTTCAAAGATAGTGATTATGATCATCATTAAATTCAGTCACCCGATATTTGTTTGATGCCCACTTAATTCTCATTCTTGCTTCGCAATTAAATCTAGTTTCTGCTCGAGGTTGCTTAACATACGGATCTCTCTTATCAGTCTTTTTGTACCTTTAGCACTATAAACAAAAAATCTACTAATCACTCTACCAAATTTATCACTATAGCTATGGCTCTTTCTTATTCCAAATCCGACCTGTCAAAAGCTTCATCATGTGTGCAAACCTCCATACCGACGGTTGGAACCAGTTCAATTGGGACGAATGAGCGGACATTTGAATTCTCATTAGTGTCTCCATCCACTGAGCCAGTTGTCTCATTGTTATCTGACTCCAATCCATGTGGTGAAGAAGATTCACCCTCCATTGCTTCCCTAAATTTAAAAACATGTCAAACTTGTTCATGATACAAAAACTAACACAATCGCAATAACATTATTTTCTATTAATGGATAGGACCACACCTCAATATAAACTCATACAAGATCAAAGTTGTCATATAAACAAGTACAGTACATATTAATTAAAAGCTAAAGCCGTGGGATTAAATATTGGCTATACAATAATCAAATCAATCAAAATCAACCCAATTTTACAAACTTTCGAACCATAACCAAAACAATTAGAATAGTTTTTGGTTACTATTAATTAGATGATGATGCAGCCTTAATTAATTACCGTTGATCAGACTATCAAATGACGGGAGAGCTTCTGATTGTTGCTGATTAGAAGAGCCGGCGGCTGGAATATTGATGCCTCTCGGATGAAAACAATGGCTGGCTTTTTATTATACTCTTGCTATGTGAGAAGAAGATGTAAAATACATCAGTAAAATAAATAGTAAAATCAGACGATGTAAGACGATTTAAAACAAATCAGTAAAAAAGATTGACGTCATAAGACTCATAACATTCGGGTTGGCTCAAGTTGAAGGCGCTAATTAAATGAAAATTACTAAGGTTAAATAAATTTTAAAAATAATAAAAACTGAAGCGTTGATTTGGTGAACTCATGAAACGACTTCGTTTCGGCCACCTTACAGGAATTTACAGGAAAGTTCCTTATAGAGGATCTGAACTGTTTAGGAAGATCAAGGTTGTTTAATAAATTTTTTTATGTTTCAAAAAATATATTCATGAGGGATCTTATTGGATAGATCTCATCGAGTACTATTAAAATGATAGAAGACATTTGGTCTAATTCTTTACAGATTATGAAATAATATCATTTGAAAATTAAAGAAAATTTTAAAACCCAAAAATCTCAATAAACAGAAAAAAAAAACCCCAATAAAAGGACACACCAAGATTCTACGCATTAAGTACGCGAGTGGAAGGTTCATGCCACGTAATAGTGCGTGAAGAGGACGCGCCATTAAGTGCAGCCAGCGTAGTGTATAATTTCCGCTTTACATATTGTAGTTATGACAAACGGAATGATCAACTTTTGAATGATATACTCTTTGTGTAGTTATATATGTTATGTAAATTTTGGACAATAAAATTGCAATTGGGTTCCACTTGCGAATAAAATGTGTAGTCAAACGCATACTTTCAGGGTCCGTGAGTTTAGTATACCCAAATTTTAGTTAGTAGAAAAAAGTGTTCTTAGGGTTGGAGGGGTAGAAATTTATGAGTTTCTCGCATTCGGGATATGCGAAGAAACTGATGTTCGTATTTACCATATGCGAACAACCTTACGTAATTAATTAGTTAAACTTAAACAAATAATAAAGACAAATGAGATAATTCGAAGTGGGCCATCACCCAGAGTTCGCATATGCCGAATGCGAAAATAATAACCTGAATAAATTAAAGCGGAAAGAGAAAGGAAAGAGGAAAGTGTGGGCCATCATAAGACTTTCGCATTCAACGAATGCGAACAGAAAAATATAAGTAAAAAAAACGAAATTATCTTTTTATCCTATTAAAATCTTGACTGGTCAATAGCGTATCGACACGTGGCAGTTGCTGACAATTTGGATAAATGTTCGCATTTGGCGAATGCGAATGTGATGGCTAGACTCATAATTTAAAACTCATCACCCCCAATTCGGCAGAACTAAAATCATCAATTCTTCTTGCATTCGGTTGAAATTTTCATTCCGGTGGAAGAGGCGGAGCTGGAAAGAGGTATTTTTCATATTGAACGTTGGGAGGTTGGACTGCACGGGAGCAAGACAGAGGCAACCCATTTAGGTAAGTTTTTTTTCTCTATGAAATTTGTAAAATTTATACATTCTATTGTTATTTGGGGCTAGTAATCTTGTTGTAGTGTACGAAATTACTAAATTTAATAATTTCGGTAGTTATTGAGAATTGGTTTTAGAAAATTTGCTTCAATAAATATATATTTGATGTAGAATGAAGAATAAAAATTATTTTTATAATGTGAATTGTTGAATTTTGTTGAATATTATGAGTTATTTTATTAATTTAGAGAATAACCCGGTTGATCTCGAATTTTGGTCTTTATACCTCAATTTTGTGAATTTTATATTCTGACCCAATTATTTGTAATGTTATTGATTTGACCCTGTTTTATTTGTTTTTATTTTGTTAATTTTGTATTTTATCAAATACATTGTGTAAATCTAAATTTATTAGTTTGATCAAAAATTGTTATTCTTTTAATTGAAAACCTTGTTATATAGATGTCGAATTATATTTTTTGAATTATTAAATGATGTTAGAGATTTTTCACTAAAGATAGGACTTATTGTTAGTTTTTGGAGTAAATTACTGCTAGTGAGGTAGAATATTGTTATAACAAGCATGAATTGATGTATTTGTATGTTTAATTGAATAAAAATTAAATGTGCAGGCCCTTAATATGTCTTTTCCGGGTCCCTTCGATTTGAATATATTCTGGTCTAGTGATCGATCATGTTGGGGATATGGGGAGAAGTTATTTACGCCCGATGCAACAGTTCGTATCGATCGAGTGTGGAGTTTCTCTGAACTTGATAATTATGTACACAGGCTGTTAGAATCTGAGAACCAATAAATACTTCCTCTACAATATGTTTTAGTCTGCACAGATGAGTACAGCAGAAGGGGGCAAGCGCCCATAAGAGACGACGAGTCAATGTCATGGATTTACCGAGGTGCCCATTTGCGTCCAGCATTGTACGTAGAGGTTGCAGATGAACCTGTTCAAGATGTTGGGGAAGGAACTACTGGTGGTCAGTATGATGGTGCAGGGAGTAGTGGTGTTGGTGGTACCAATGAAGATGACGATGACACAGAAGATGACGTACATGGGAACAGTGACGAGGAGTATGTGCCGTCCGATGGGTCTGATGATGATTACAGTGACCATGACGCATCTTCAGTAGTAATTTCTATTTTTGATGACATCAGTGACATGGACAAGTCTGAACTGGTTGAGGATTCTGATGGGATCACAATGTGGGACGGTAATTGGCAGACGGTTAGACATGGTGTACATTTTGCTAACAAGAAAGAGGTACAAACAGCCGTGGGGAATGGACATTGCGACGTGGTCGGGCATGTCGGGTAAAATATAGCCGTCCCTATCGTGGGCCGAATGCGAGACGAAAGGGCCAAGTACCCGAAGAACTTCTCCACGGCACTACTTGCTTGTGGAAATGTCGAGCTACCCTGCAAAAGACACAAATACTTGGAGAATGGTGGTATGGGTCGAGAGCCACAACTGTCTTGGTGCAACCACAAGAAACGAAGGTCGTAACTTGACGTCCACAATGATTGCTCGATTGATCACAGCCAATGTCTGAAAAGATCCAGGTTATTCAGTCGCACAGATCCAAGTCGAAGTAAATAAGAGATACAGGGTCACCCCCAATTACAAAAAGGCATGGCATGGTCGAAGAAAAGCACTTGAGAGTCTGTATGGCACATGGGAAAACAACTTTCAACAACTGCCCAGTTTTCGGGAAGCATTGCTCAAAGCGAACCCAGATACCCGTATGCAGTTTAAGTTCACTAAAGATACCAAGAATCGGAAGAAGAAGGTGTGCAAGTACATTTTTTGGGCATTTGGGCCAGCTATACATTTATTTAGAGTTGCTTGGCCGGTCATAACCGTCGACGCCACCCACCTCCGAGGTTCATACAAAGCAACATTGATCGTGGCATGTGTGAAGTGCTCGAATAACACAATTGTTCCCATCGCGTTTGCTCTCGTGGATAAAGAGACATTGCACAGCTGGAAATGGTTCCTTAAATACCTGAAAACATTTGTTCTACTTGACAAGGAGACATGCATTATCTCTGATCGCCATACAGGTATTCTTGCTGCTATGGATGTTATGCTTGATAAATTTCCAGGGATGGGAGTGCACCGTTATTGTCTGCAGCACATCAAAGCAAATTTAGTGGCAATTTTCTGGCGCGAAACTCAAAAGACCTTGTCAAAGGGCTTGTTCAATGTTGCAAAAAGGGAAGTTTGAAAAAGAATGGATGAATTTAGAAAGTAAAAATAGAGATGCAGCCATATATCTTCAGCAAATCGGTCTTGAGAAGTGTACCCGTTATTGGGACGGGGGATATCGTTGGGGAGAAATGACTTCGAACATATCCGAGAGTTTTAATAATGTCTTAAAAGGTTACCGGATGCTCCCTATCACTGCTTTGATTCTTGCCACATTGTATAAGACTAACAAGTTGTTTCAGGAAAACATAGATGAAATTGACAAATGCCATTCACCCCTCGCGACGAATCCCATGAAACGGTATGAGGATTACCGTATACATCAGATGGGTCACGAGGTTACCAGATTTAGCAAGAGGAATCAGAAGTACCAAGTGGTCACGTACTCACCACCTGATCGGCCATGGAAGGGTGGAAATATCCATGAGGTAAACTACGCCGCCAGGATGTGCACATGTAACAAGTGGCAGACATACAGGTTTCCTTGCTCCCATGCGCTTGCTGTTGCCAGGTATCTACGTCATGATCCATTACCGCTTTTTGATTCATTTTATAGTAGGGAACAATGGGCTATTCAGTTTTCTGGAGAATTCAACCCAGTCCTTCAACCATGGCCACAAGCGACGTGGCATCTGAGGCCTGATGATACGTTACTCGTACACCATGCTGGCCCAGGTCGGAAGCATGTGAATCGAAAGAAAGGACTTATGGATTATACGAAAAAATCTGGTAACAAGAGAGTTCAAGTTTGTGGTCGATGTCATCAAGAAGGCCATAATGCCAGTGCATGCGTAGTTGAGAAAGTTTGCGCGCGATGTGGAGGATTCGATCATGATACCTTCAACTGCGCATTCTCACATCCATCTTCAGACAGGAATCCTTTGAATCATTCTTACGATCGATATGGAATGCATGGTGTACCCCATATGCAGACTGATGATTCTGATGATCAATCTGCAGAATTCTGAGTAGGAATTCAAAGTTTGTGTTTGCGTAATAATCTGAATAATCTTTAAATAGTGGTTCTGGTAGTGTTTGTGTAATGGTTTGATTAATTCTGAGTTTGTATTTGTGTAATGAGTCTAAGAATTCTGAATTTGTATTTAGTATTGGTTTGTGTAATAATTCGAACAATATGCAAGTCTATATTTGTATTTGTGTACTGTCAAAGAACATTAGTAAATGTGAACATTAGTAAATGTTGTAGTTTCTAGATTGTTCCCGGGACCACGAATATTTCGCATAAAGGAAATGCGAACAATATGAAGCTGTCCAGGTCGCACCATGTGGCGTCATCTCCTGGACTCCGTATAGTCGATTATTCGCATAAGGGAAATGCGAAAGTTTGTAATCTGGCCACGGGCGCCACGTGGCATCATCTGGGTTAAGTTCGCATACAGGAAATGCGAACAACTTCAGATCTAAATTTGAAGTACACTTCTCTCCCCGTCGGTTTTTCCCCGATTTTCACCATTGAAGCCGGCGCCTCCTCGCTCCCCGTCGGTTTTTCCCCGGTTTTCAGCCATTGTTCCCGGCGTCGCCTCTTCCACAAAAGGTAGGTAAGTGTTTTGTACTTCATAATGCTTTGTTTATTTTCAGATTTATGTCGTGTTATTTCGTCTTTGTTCTAGTTTATTTATTCAATTGATTTCTTCGCATTTACGGCCGGCGAATTTAGATCGCCCGGAGTTGTTGTCGCCGGCGTTGTTGTTTTTGTTGTTGTTGTTGTTGTTGTCGCCGGCGTTGTTGTTGTTGTTGTTGTCGGCCGGCGTTGTTGTCGGCCGGCGTTGTTTTTTTTTTTTTTGTGTTTTATTTTTATTTAATGTAGTTAGGGTATTTGTATTATTTTGTATTATTTTTATTTAGTGTATTTGTTTTAGTTTGTATTATATTTATTTAGGGTATTTGTATTAGTTTGTATTATATTTATTTAGGGTATTTGTATTTGTATTTATCTAGTGTATTTGTATTTGTTTGTATTATTTTGTATTATATTTATTTAGTGTATTTGTATTAGTTTGTATATATTTATTTAGGGTATTTGTATTTGTTTGTATTATATTTATCTAGTGTATTTGTATTTGTTTGTATTATTTTGTATTATATTTATTTAGGGTATTTGTATTTGTTTGTATTATATTTATCTAGTGTATTTGGATTTGTTTGTATTATTTTGTATTATATTTATTTAGGGTATTTGTATTTGTTTGTATTTTATTTATCTAGTGTATTTGTATTTGTTTGTATTATTTTGTATTATATTTATTTAGGGTATTTGTATTTGTTTGTATTTTATTTATCTAGTGTATTTGTATTTGTTTGTATTATTTTGTATTATATTTATTTAGTGTATTTGTATTAGTTTGTATTGTTTTGTATTATTTTTATTTAGTGTATTTGTTTTAGTTTGTATATATTTATCTAGTGTATTTGTATTTGTTTGTATTATATTTATTTAGGGTATTTGTATTTGTTTGTATTATATTTATCTAGTGTATTTGTATTAGTTTGTATTGTTTTGTATTATTTTTATTTAGTGTATTTGTTTTAGTTTGTATATATTTATTTAGGGTATTTGTATTAGTTTGTATTATATTTATTTAGGGTATTTGTATTTGTTTGTATTATATTTATCCAGTGTATTTGTATTTGTTTGTATTAGTTTGTATTATATTTATTTAGGGTATTTGTATTTGTTTGTATTATATTTATCTAGTGTATTGTTTTGTATTATATTTATTTAGTGTATTTGTATTTGTTTGTATTATTTTTATTTAGGGTATGGAGACGGGATCATCATCGTCTTCGCAGTCTAGACAATATGACCTCCAGCAGGGTCCTATAGATAAGAGTTTATTGGTCCTTCATGATGATCATAGGTCATTCCACACATTTAGGGGTAATACGGCTTATTTGAAAGAACTTTCCGCATACCGAGTGGATACTGACCTATGGCCTGAACTAGACAAGGCTGCCCCACAGATACATGCCCAAATAGCAAAGTTTGGTCTAGGGCCTCTTTTTCGAATTGGTTCTATTAAGTTAGATTGGGCCCTCATTACAGCCTTAGTTGAGCGATGGCGGCCTGAGACCCATTCATTTCACTTGCCTATCGGAGAGGCGACTATTACTCTACAGGATGTCGAGGTCCTTCTGGGTCTGCGGGTTGATGGCCATGCAGTGGTCCAGGGGACAGTACCTCCGCAGGATGTGGAGTGGGCCGATTATTTGGAGAGTCTGTTTGGATTCCGACAGCGTCCTAAGGCCACGAAGGTTAAGGTAGTAAACATCACAGATATAAAGAGACACATTATGACTAATCTGCTACCCGGAGATGCTACAGAGGATATGTACCTTCAGCGGGCAGGTTGTTTTGTCGGATGGATTTTAGGAGGGTTATTGTTTCCTGATAGCAGCAGAAACAGTTTTCCCCTGGGCCTGGTGGGGTATTTGGAGGACCCAAATACATTTCGGGAGTTTAGTTGGGGTAGTGCTACACTGGCGTGGTTGTACCGAAATCTATGCACTTCCTCAGTGATCACATTGTCTGGACAGGGTATTTGTGGCTGCTTACTACTCTTACAGGTAATTTCAAACCGCCCTTGTATTTGTATTTGATTGTTAGTTTTTTATTCATTTTATTTTAATTTTTTTCGATTTATTTTTATTTTTCTTATTTGTAATTTTTTGTTAGAATCCTAATATTTATAATTGTATTTTATTTTTAGTTTTTTAATTATTGTATTTGTATTTTTAATTTCACGTATTATTTTATTGCAAAATAGTTATGGGCTTGGGAGCGGATATTGACTTTCTGTCCGGAGTTACGTGGGCCCGTACCAGATCTTCAGGGGTGTCCCTTGGGCAGGAGGTAATTAATTTTCAACTATTCAATAATTATCTTAATTAGTTATATTTTTAATAATTTTTTCTGTTTTTCAATCAAAACTATATTTTTTTGTAGGTGGAACCGTCCTAGAAAAGTGGGAGACATCACACGATTTAATCTAACCGCCTATCGAGACCAGCTTGCGGTTTTGCAAGAACATAATGTAAGTATTTTTTATTTGAACCATCATAACGCATAAATCAATTTATTTTTTTTCTTATATATTCACATAATTTTTTTGTATTATCTGTCCCTCTACAGTTTGTTTGGATGCCGTATTCTCCTGCTATTCTAGCAGACATTGATCCATCTTGCTCTGCCGGCTCCGCCATATGGATGTCCCAGACTTGGCTGCTTTATTTTGGTATCCGAGAGCCACACATCCCAGGCAGGGTGTTGTGCCAGTTCGGCTTCTTGCAGCGGGTGCCTGACAACACTTTCATCATGGAGAAAAAAGAAATAGAAAAGTTGCATAAGGAGACGCGTGGTAAGAAATGTCGAGATGACGTCTTACAGAGGTGGGAGAATCGACACAACACCCTTGCAGGTCTTCATCAGACGGATATGACTCTTGAACCCCAGGCAGCACCGGAATATCTAGTGTGGTATCAAAATCACACTGTCACTTTGGTCACCAATCCATCAGACTATCGTCACCCTGTGGTTTTCGGGGATCTGTGAGTCACTACATATAATGGTAAGTTACAGTTCTACTATTTCTTTAATCACGCCCATATTAATATGATTTTTATACATATAACTTTCTAAAATGTTATTTCCTATTTTTTATTTACCATATATATGTTCATTTATAAAATATATTTATTATATATTTTTAATTTACCATATATATTTATTTCCTTTTATAATTTTCAGGCCAATTTAGTGCAAAACATGCGGCATATTACTCTAGATGGGCTACAACGTAATCCAGTTGATTCTTGGAATCACAATGCCTTCCTACAGCTGCACGATTTGACACAAAGAAGCAATGATCACGACAAGACATCTGTTTGGGCTGATAGTGAGAACCCAAGCCAAGATTTTGTTCCAGCTGACCAAACCCAGGAGTATATCCCACCTAGGCCTCCCAGGACTGACCGAGGCGGCTTCCAGTTAGGGAGTGGGAGAATGAGAAAACCTGTGGCCACCCAGAATACCGGCGGGCAATCTTCTACCCCCCATGTGTCTCCTTACCGTCCATCATCGCCACACCACCATCCCTCTCCTCCTTTTGAGCAAATGCATTTTGATTCAGATTTTATTAATCTAGATCCTAATGCTGGGGGTTTCTTTCAGACTAGTTACGAGGGTTGTCATCACAGTCAGCATCTAGGTGGTGACGATATCCATCATGATCAGGAAGATGATCAACATCATGAGGATATTGGGGATCAGGAGCATGATGATGATGCTGATGATGCTGAGCATTCCTCTCATGATCATTATGAGGGCGCTGATCAGGGACAGGGCCCCAGTGATGGTACCATGCCTTTTACACCGATTGCTTTGGGTAAGGGACAGCGGAACATAAAAAAGAAGAAAAAGTGCTGCATGACAGATTCTCAGGAGAAAAAGCGCAAGATGTAGAACTATTAGATTGAATTGTACTTTTATTTTATGCTATTTTATGACTTTTGTTATTAGTTTTAAGCAATACCTTTCATTTATTTTCATTAACAATTTATTTCGGTTTTATTTAATCTTTAAGATAAAAAAAAACTTTAAAAGGCAAACATTAAAGAAGAAAATTTCTCAAAAAGACAATATTATGTACAATTTTTTTAACTTACTTTTATACAATACTATCTTTTTCGTCGTGCCAAATTCAAGTTTCCATGTCGCCAAAAGATCATTGTTAGAAGGAAGTGTGGTTTTATCAAGTTTAGCAAGACTGATTATGTCAGATTCTAAAAATTTAGTTTTTTTCCTTACTTTAAATGAATTGATTCTAAGTTTTATTATGTAAAAAATATTATTATCCTAAAATTAATAAACTTGATTTTTTGACATTATATTTTTAATGATGGTAAGTTTTTAAATTGAAATCAAATAAAAGTCATTTTTTTTAAAAGCAAACTTGGTTACAGAACGCAAGATTATATTCTAATTTTTCACCGAAATTTTAATTTACTTCTTATTCAAATTTAATTATAAATGCATTATACGATTTCTGTTCACCAAATATAATTTTTAGGATTGCAATTCTATTTAGAACTAACATAAATTTACTTAAATCAAATGAATACTTTTAATTTAGAAAATTTAATTTTCAATTAAAATAGTATTTTTTTGTTGAAATATTACAACATTTTATCAACCAAAATATTTAATTTACAACATTTCATTTTAATACCAATTTAAAGTTAGGAAACAAGTTTTAAATGCAGATTTAATACGTTCGCATATGCCATATGCGAAAAGTTAGATTTCGCATACCCCAAATGCGAAGGATTAAATTAATTATAATTATCCAGTTTTAATCCAACGTCTTTAATGCATTGTAATTAATCCACTACATTTTCGCATTTGCTGAACGCGAAAGTTGATTTTTTCGCATTTGCCAAATGCGATAAACATATTTCTTTCTACCTCCGAAAACCTAGCCATAGTCCTGCTTACACTACTAATTTGGGAGTATATTTGTGTCATTTTTCGCATACTTTCATTAGTTATTAACATGTTTCTGGACATTGAATCGTGGCGGCTTTAATTTATCACCATTCAGAATTCGAAAAATGAGTGGCGAATGGGGTTGATAAAGTTGAGTTTTTTTTTTTGAGAAAAAAGATTGTTTCATTCAAATTTGTTGAAAATCGTCCAACTGCGATTGATTGAAGGTCGTAAAAATATGCGACCAAGTTGTACAATGGGATTCACTACTTTTAGCTAATGCTGAAAAGTCGTGAGCTGTTGTATTGTTGCAGCGACTAATCCATAGTGGGATCTAACTCATTATGATGGGGAACAACTACTTGGGCGGCAGTTATTGTGTTGATTGCGTCTCCCATGATTGAAAAGTTTACTAACTTACTCTCCACCGCTAACAAAAGAGCCTCTTTCAACGCTGGATTCTCAGCCGCTTCAGAATCAAAAACCCCGAGAACCTTCTTTGTTCTAGCTTGCACAAACTTTCCGTCCGAATCAGCGTACCAGACCCCAATCCCAGCACAACGGTGAATTCGGGAGGTGGCTGCATCGAACCAAATTCGAGGCCCTGGCGGGGGACGTCCCAGCAAAGAGTGTGATTGCAAGGACGCGGACAATCGCTCAGGACACGAGTTTGCGTCCAAGAAAGAACGCCGTATACTGCATGCCATGAGAACGACTGACGTTGTGCTAAGGGCTTCATCTTCATGGATCATTTTGTTGCGTCGGTACCATATGCAATTCAACAGAGTTGCAAACACTTCAGCGGTTGATAAAGTTGAGTTTGTTTTATTTCATCATTCTGTTTTTGAATAACGATATAATTGTCCAATTTCAAATTTCGCTTTTGGTTTAATTTGTTCTAAAAACCAAGATCCAAGCTGAAAAGATTATTTCTCAAGGTTTGATATTATTTTTAGCATTTCATCTACACGTATATTATAATTAAAATTGAGATGTGATTTTTCTTTTTGTTTGAAAACAATAAATGAAATAAAATCAAGAAATAAAATGCTGTGAACTTTATGATCGGTTCTTCTTGTGAATGTGTGTAAAAGGACAAAAAGGGAAGGTAAGAGAACAAGAAGCTTTTTGCTCATGGGGCAACAATTTCGTTTTTGGTCAAAAGTGAATAATCAAGACACCTTTTGTCCGTTTTCACTTCGAAACACATTTTTCATCCAATGCCCAATTGTTGTTTTCAGATTAATGGGGACACATATTTATCCAGTTTAGTCAAATTCATTCAAAGTTCAAACAACACAATAATCGCATTTGTTGGGAACTAAAAGTATTAAATTTTTGGCAAAAGCATTTTGTTCTGCAAAATGATTAAAAAAATTAAACAAAATGAATTGTTAGAAACGCACACAAATAAAAAGTTTAATTATATGCATGAAAAGAAGTTATGTTTTTCAGCTCAATAATTTTTATTTATTATTTATTTTTTCTCCAAACATCAAATTAAACGTACACTGGTACTTTCAAACGCATGCTTTCGGAGTTTCATTTCAAAAATATCTTTTCGGTTGGAACCTCAGATATTATTTGTTGCGTATAAATTGAGGACACAACGCCTAAGGTTTTCTCCTTCTCTCACTTCCCACATTTTGGCTCCGCCTCCTTTTCGCTCTCCATCTTGGAACGTGAGAGCCAGGAATCGGTTGGACAGTGAAATGCAAGGGGGATGTGATTATATTAGGGTTTTTCTTTTGAATCATCATCAGTTCCAGCCATGTGTGCGGATCTCAAATTGGTCCGCCCAGCTCTCCTGATTTCCTTGCTATAGAGAGTTTTCTATAATGGACGGTTGGTTTCGTAGGTTTTGAAGGATGGAGACATATGGTTGATTCGGAGAGGTATTGGTATCCATAAACATCATCCTAGCCAGGCGGAGCAAGATATAAATTCAGTCATGTGGCCTATAGTAAATTTCTTTTAATTTATGATTGTATCAGTTGATAAAATAATAATATCATCAGGATTTACACAATTAGTTTATTTTATTCTTTTCAAGCTAACAATTATTGTTGCCTTTTTTTTAATTGGCGATTTAGGATCTACAAATGGTTTATATTGTTCTCAATCCCTATCTTATTTTCAGCATTCAGTGCGTTAGAGACATTAATGAACTATTAAACAAGATTAATGTATCATTTTAATGCTTCCATGAATTTTTTCTATATGGAACTGCGAAGTGTTACCTAAAATTCTTGCAATGGAACTTACGCAGTATCTACAGACAGTTAGTGCATTGTGTCCTTTCTGTTGATTGTAAAGAGGCTAAAGCTGCTGTCTTCTAATATCTTTATATTTCCCACAGCCAAATTCATCGGCAACAGTTTCTTTATTTTTGTCAAAATAATAATAATTGATGTTAATTAAAAAAAAAAGAGTAAGCTACAAGAATTTGGATAGAAATATTCCAGTTGACCTTAATGAAACGCATCGACTGGCCATAGCGGGCAATACTCGTTCATACACTTTCAAAGGTAAAGATAAATTAACCAACCCGTGACAAGAAGTGTATATATTCCAATGTTTCATGATAAATGAACAAGAAATCACAACTAATTAAATGGGATTTCAGATAAATCTTCAGCTATATGCTATAGGTAAGACTTACGAACATGAAATTGTATTCCAATTGTATTTAATCTTCGATGGTCAAATGTCCTATGATTCTTTGATATTAAAATGTTTATGGCAATAAGATCTTGCCTATATGCTCAAGTGTTGCTGTTAATTTTTTTGGAAGTTAATTTATTCCTCTTCGAGTCAAAAGTAGTATTGTCCTTCATATTGTACCATGCCTCTGCCCCATTTCAATATTTTATTTTGTTAAACTAAAATAATACAACAAAAGAAATTATAAAAATAAGAAATGAGATCCAAATGGAAGATAACTATTTTTCTTCGACTATCACAAATGCGTCCTTCATTTTTTTTTTTCTTGTCTTTATTTTTGACAGGAAAAAAGGGAAAAAAACTAACTTGTCGTCGTAGCTATTATTGTGTCATGCTTCATGTTTCTCTCAAGAAATTTTTTAGTTAGTTAGCAAGGAATAAATTATATTGTAAGTACATGCACAAGCCGCACTAGGCATGTGTTTCTTCCATTATATATATATAAAAATTTGATGATTAAAAAAATAATAATTAGACCTTTTCCACTTGAACTTCTTTTATTATTATTTTTTCCCTAGCTCTCTATACAGTGCAGTCTTTGTTTTCAGAATATCCAATTTTTTCTCCTTCTGTTCTAAAATATTCGTCAGGAGTTTTTACTTGATGTTTGAACTGCTAGTCAGACAAAATTTCAGTTTCAGAATCCTATCCTCTGCATTTTTTATAGTTCCATGTTTCAATTCGGAAAAAAAAAAATGTAAAGGAGTTCACACTTTTAGCACGAGTTGAAAAGATTCTGCACAGCAATATTGTGATCACTGATTAGTGGATTGCCTTTTCCCATTGATCCAATATATACAACTGTCTCCAAGTAAATGGTCACAAAATTAATGGCTGTTAAAAATCTAGACGGAAAATCCACAAAGAAGATGATCTGTTGCCTGTTGGTCAACAAGAAATCTTTCCTATAGTTTTGCAGTTTGCTAAGACACTTCAGTCATATTGGATCAGTCTCAACCAAAACAATCACTCCTCTTTCTTTCTTTTTGGATATTTGAAGATTTGCAATAGAGCGAGAATCGAAGATTTGCAATATTTTAGAAACTGTCACAAAAATCTAAATCATTGACGATCAGTTCAGTTCCATGATATGGATGTCATTGACCAAGTCGCTAGGATGCGGACCTAAATTGGTCCGAGTTCAGTCAAGCTCCCTTGAGTTCCTAGCTAAAGAGTTTTCCGAACTCCCAGTAGAGAACCTCTTTGACCTTATGTGGATGGCGTACTGCTTACACCTAAGCGAATAGGGGGAT